TTAAATTATAAAAAACCACCCTAAAATTCTAAAATTTATAAATAAAATAAGATGAATTCAAGATATTACCCTTAGACACCTAAAAAATTAAAATTTGCCAAAATTAACGTCAAAATTTTTAAAAACTCCTTTCAAAATTTAAAAATCGTAAAAAAAACTCTAAATTTTCAAAATTTTTAACTAGCACACATCAAATTCGTCGATTGGTAGACCGCTAAAATTTAATATTTTTCAAAATTAATCTATAGTTTTAATAATTGCAAAAGAAACCCTCAAAATTTTAGAGTTACAAGAAATATACTAATATTTAAAAAATTACCACCAACACATGAAACATAGAATTTACAACTACCAAACTTAAAAGTAAATTTTTTTAAAAACTCTTTCAAAATTTTAAAAATTATAAATCACACCCTCAAAGTTCAAAACCACAAAAATGGGCTAAAATTTTAAAACTTGGCAAAGAAAAGTGTAATTGTTTGGTATTTTTCATATATATATATATATTAAAATTTCTAATTTAGGGATTTACTATCCATTTTCAGCATCTAAGAATAGTCTAAGTTGATACTGGTAAACAAAAACAATAAGAATTGATTAAAAACATCCGGTTAATGGATAAAATTTTTAAAAATATTATAGATTAAAAATTATCGGCAATATATATATATATATATATATATATATATATATATATATATATATATATATATATATATATATATATATATATATATATATATATATATATATATATATATATATATATATATATATATATATATATATATATATATATATATTAAAATTTCTAATTTAGGGATTTACTATCCATTTTCAGCATCTAAGAATAGTCTAAGTTGATACTGGTAAACAAAAACAATAAGAATTGATTAAAAACATCCGGTTAATGGATAAAATTTTTAAAAATATTATAGATTAAAAATTATCGGCACTATATAAATTAAAGTAATTTCATATAATTTTAGTAATAAGTTGGGGTAGCCAAAATACATTCGTAACATTAATTGATAGATGTTTAAATCCATAGAAATGATAAAACACTATAATATTATACCTTAGCATTAATTGATTTTAATTTAGAAACTTTAATCTTTGACGTTAATAATATTTATAGGGTAAAAGAATACAAGGAATTACATATGGAGAAACTATTAGAATATTTAGAGATAACTTTAAAAGAATTGAGTTATTTCCATTGCAAATGGGAAAGTGATGGAAATAAATCTAAAATTCAGAAAACGTCAATGAATCACTTGAATTGGCATTAACATAAGACATATCTATTAATGAAGCACTGAATGAGTTACATTAAAAAATAATTTAATAACTTTATCCTAATCAAAGAAAAAATCTCCATGGAAGACATAAGAAAAATTAGTAAGTATTCATAAATTCCATACTGTGTTCTTCAAATTAAATATTAATATTATAATCTAAGAGAAATTGGTAATGAATAATGCAGGTATTTAGTTTAGATCTTTATGGAAAATGACAGGGATAGAGCAAAGGTAATATTATTGAAATAACAGAAATTCTTATTGGATGCACATCAGAAGAATTCATTTTAGAGGAAAATAAAGAGATAGCTTCTAATTTATTTAAGTAATAAATTAGGAACACAAAGAATTTTATATATATGAAATTAATATTTATTCTCATTGAAATAGAAAAAAATCAAAGTCTATATTTTGAGCAGTTTGTGTTGAACATCATAAGTACATTTGACTTCTTTGTAAAGTTAAATGAGATGATAAAAAATTAACGAGCCTAGGAAAGATAATAGCATAAAAATACAAAATTAGCCTGATGTCACAATTGATGTAGATGATGAAGACAATACTCTAGAATTGTCCGAGAAATGATAAATGATAAACCTGAAGAAGGATTGATCTTAACTCAATTAAAAATAAAATAGAAGAAATAAAAACAATATTTTATGAATATTTTATAGAATAGTTTAATTATTTTGAGTGAAATTAGGAATCTTTAGAAGGGAGTTTCATGAATTTTTTTCAATACTTTTATATTCTTATGTGGATGTTTTTATCATATAAAAGTATACTAGAGTTAGTATTAATCTTTAATTTATATTTTTTTATAAAGTCTATCAATGATTAGAAATAAACTTCATATTCTCTTTTGCATCATTTTAACATACTTTAAATCAATCATTTTGCCATATTGGTTTTAAATATTCACCTTCCTTGTATAACACTATTTTAATATTTTTCACTTTGCAATGCTATACTTTCTCAAATAAAGCTTAGTTTCATATCGGTCAAAAATAATATGAAAATTCAAATTATTTTTAAATTATATTTGTTTTTTGTCAATTCAAATATCAACATGAAAATTTAAATTGGGTGTATCCCATTTAAACAAACATAAAAAAAATAATCGGGATGTAAGGGTTTAAAGAAAAAAACGAGCACAAAACTGCCAAAAATACCCATGGTATTAAATCACGTGTATTGCACGTGTGTAAAAACTAGTATATATATATATATATGAGGCTAGTTGTTTTAGGTTTGGCCTTCGTTATTTTTGTAAAACTCAAATTCGCATATTCTCACTCTTAGGCCTCAATGTGAAGATTTCTGAACTTGCATTGCTGTCAAGTTATTCTCTAGTTTTTGCTGAGGATTTGATATATATTCCATCAATCAAGGGAGACGGTTGAATCTTTTTATAATATTTCAATGTCGAAAAATACTTTCAGGGTATTCTCTCTTATTTACTTTTAACTGTAAAGAAATCTAATTGGAATTAGTAGGTTGTGTTCGTGGGCCGAGCTAGTAACATCAATTCGGGCCGCGGGCATTGCTGGGCTCAGGCTAAGTAGCTCCCTTTAAGATCTGGAGTTAGGATTCACACCTCTCGCGAAGGTTTTCCTGGGTGGTGTTTTGAGGATTTTAGGCTGTTATAATTCAGAGAGAAAATGACGAGTCGTATTCAAAGTATAATTCGGACAATATAACTTATTTGACCATAAATTGGTAGATCTGAGATCAATTCTGAAGAGATATTTAACCTTAACATTTTATATGCCTCGAAGATATTTAATCTTAGCATGAATTTTTCTCAATCTTATATATTTTCTTCGTATCCACTTTGTATTTGTTTATATTTTCTCTTATCCAATCTATATTGTGTTGGGTTTAAATCCAATATATGAGCCATATGAAATAAATATGTATTATGTGTTATTATCAATGTTAGCCCGTTAAAGTGATCTGATTAGGGTTTGGACTTTTAATGCATAGTTAAATTATGAGTCATCTATATGTAGATACCAAAATATAATTGTTAATTCTATGATGGACTGAATTGATAATTATAAATAACTAATAACAGTTATAAATAGGGTTGTGGTTTCCCAAATCTATACATAGATTTTCTTTCTGGTTTTCCATATTCAGAAGGATTAGGGTTTCTCTAAGGAGGATATATACGTAGAAGATTTGGAAGATCTACATCTCAAAAAACTGAAGAATCACATCCTACTCGATGGATTCAGGTATGATTCTGCATCTTCTTAATTATTTCAATAGTTTGACATGAACAATCTTGGGATTGATTAGGGTTTTATCTATTAAAGTAAAAGTTTTCTTCTGATCTAACAATTGGTACCAGAGTTGTGTTCATGTTAATCTATTGAGAATCAATTTTAATTTGTGATGTGATTCTCTTGCATGTTCTCAAATCTTTAAAAAAATTGAATTGTTTAATTTGAGAACAAAAATTGGTAGTTCTTCCTCTTATATATTCTTCATGATCTCGGATTCAAAAGGGTTATTATATTTTGAATTGTATGAATCTGATTTAGAAGAATTCATGTTTGATTGAAAACTAGGGTTCGTTCATCATGTTATGTATATGATTATTTATTTTTAATTTTGGATCAAAGTCTAAAAGATTTCAGGTTAGAAATCTCAAAAAAAAAATACAGTACCCCCGCAGTTTCGGCGAACAAAGATTTTTTGTTGTTGCTACAGTGATGATTGCTATAGTTTCCCCTTGTGCTGCAGTTGTTTCAATTACTACAGTTTCGATTTTCAATTTGATTCAGTGCCTTTTTTTTGGGGGGGTGGGGGGATTCAATGTCGAAACAATTTTGCTACATTGTTTGTTTTTTTTTGCTTGCTACAGTGATGAAACAAATTTGTTACAGTGCCGAAAGGTCGGATTTTTTCTTTTCTTTGACCTTGGCCGCAGCTCCATCTTTGACCCACTGTAGGTTTGGGCTTTTGGAATTTATTTTATTTTATTTTATTTAAAAAAAATTATTGGATTAGACCTACTGCAGTGTTGATTTGTTTGGAATTTGATTAATTGGATTAGGCCCACTTGTAGTATTGGGCTGACATTTAGAATTTTTATTTATTTATTTTATTTTGATTGGATTCAAAATATTGACATTAAAGTTTATTAAAGATATATGATGTATTGAAAAGAATTGATTGAAACAACATGTTACCAAAGTAGCATCTGTTGTGTAGATCAATTTATTTAAAACATCAATATAGTAGTGTGTGTATGGTTCATGCAAATATTAATCAGCCCAAAGGAATATTAATCAACCCAAAGGAAGGTTAATATTTGAATAATTCATATGCATACATGTGGTGATAAATATGGGTAATTATTCAGTTTTACATGTGAATAATAAATCGGTCCAAAGAAAGGTTTGTTATTTGACATGTCTTATTGTCAATGTTTGATCACTACACCAAGAGTACCACTTACAAATTAATATTTCTGTCCAAAGACTAAATATTAATATTGTGTTAGGTATCTTGAGATGGATATTGCCAACTTTGAATTCATAAATTTTAATTTGGTTTCTTATATGAGATTATTTATTTTCTTATGTTGTTCTTTGATTCAGCTATTAGTTCTGCTTCAAACATCACTATCAACATTAATTCCATTCCTATGCTAATGGCACTAACTTCAAGTCATTGTAAGAGAACGTTATGATAGTTCTTGGAGTCATAGATCTTGACCTTGCGTTAAGCCTTCCTTCTCCTGCACCTCTTACGGATAAAAGTTTCACTGATGAGAAAAGAGACATGAAGAGGTGGAAGAAGTCAAATCGCATGTGTATGATGATCATGAAGAGGGCCATTCCAGAAGCATTTAGGGGCACTATGTCTGAGAAGATAACTACTGCTAAAGAATTCATTGAGGACATTGAGAAAATATTTGCTAAGAATGAAAAGGCTGAAACTAGTACACTTTTGACAAATCTTATCTCAATAATATACAAGGGGAAAGGGAACTTTATAGAGTACATCATGGAGATGTATCATACTGCTTCAAACCTGAAAGCACTTAAGCTTGAACTCTCTGAGGACTTGCTTGTGCATTTGGTTTTTATCTCTCTTCCCACGTAATTCAGTCAAATCAAAGTAAGCTATAATTGCCAAAAGGAGACTTGGTCTCTTAAGGAGCTTATCTCACATTATGTGAAAGAAGAGAAAATGTTGAAGCAAGAGAAGATAGAAAGTGCTCATTTGGCTAGTACTTCCAAGGACAAATGGAAGAAAAGAATGGAAAATAAAGAAGCTGCAGAAGCTCAACCACAAAAGAAACAACACAAAGCAAATAATGAAGATGTGTGTTTCTTCTGTAGGGCTGCGGGACATAAGAAGAAAAATTATACCAACTATCACGCATTGCGTGCAAAAAAGGTACACTTTTCAATTTTGTTTGTTCTGAGGTTAATTTATCTTCGGTACCTAGACACACGTGGTGGTTAGATTCTGCTACCACAACTAACATCAGCGTGTCTATGAAGAGTTGCCCGAGCTACCGAAAGCCAAGTGATGGAAAAAGATACATCTATATGGGCGATGGTAAGAAGGTTGAAGTTGAGGCAATTAGGACATTTAGGTTATTGTTAAAGTCCGGTTGTTATTTGGATTTGAAAGAGACTTATATAGTACCATCATTTATACAGAATTTAATTTCTATTCTTGTATTGGACAAATTTAGTTACTTTTATTCATTTGGAATTGATAAATTTAGTCTTTTTCAAAATTCAAATTTGGTTGGTACCGGTTCTTTATCTTATGCTAGTAATCTTTATTTGCTTGATTCAATTGCTTCATATCATGAAACCTTGTAATTAAGCACTCGATGTGTAAAGAAAAAAATTAACCCATGAGAATTCCGTTTCGTTGTGGCACAAGAAATTTGGTCACATCTCCAAAAGGAGAATTGAGAGGCTTGTGTCACATGGAATTCTAGACCCCCTTAATTTTAGAAACTTTAAAGTTTGTACTAATTGTATAAATGGAAAACAAACAAACATAAGAAGATTTGGTGCCAACAGGGCTACAGACGTCTTAGAACTAATACATACAGATATTTGTGGGACATTTCCTACAATTTCTTGGAATGGTCAGCAATATTTTATCACGTTCATAGACGATTTTTTGCATTATGGCTACCTTTATCTCATACATGAAAAGTCTCAATCACGGGACATGTTCAAAGGTTACAAAGCTGAAGTTGAGAACCAACTCAACAAAAGTATCAAAAGCGTCAAATCTGACGGTGGTGGTGAGTATTGGCAGGTATGACGGTTCAGGTGAACAACGTCTAGGACCATTTGTTAAATTTCTAGAGGAGTGCGGTATCATCCCACAATACACCATGCCTGGTTCTCATACCATGAATAGTGTTGCTGAAAGACGAAACAGAACGCAGAAATGGTAAGGAGCATGATTAGTCATTCTAACTTACCAGAATCTCTTTGGGGAGAAGTATTAAAGACTGCAGCTTACATACTCAATAGAGTACCAACTAAAGTGACTGTCAAAACCCCTTATGAACTTTGGACATGCAAAAGCCTAGTCTGAAGCATCTGCACATTTGGAGATGTCCAGCTGAGGCTAGGCCTTAGAGGCCACATGAAAAGAAACTGGACTCTAGAACTACCAGCTTCTACTTTGTTGGTTACTCGAGATCTAGGGGTTACAAGTCTTATGATCCTGCTTCCAAGTTAATATTTGAGACGAAAAATGCCCGATTCTTTGAGGATGTTGAGTTTGCGGGGGGAGATAATGTTAAGAACTTTGCCTTTGAAGAGGAATATGTTAATATTCCCACAACTGCTATTGACATTGATCAGGCTTCTATCCCTGTCATTGTTCAAGAAACAAATCTAGATCAAGACAACGTCATAGAACCTCCCGTTACAGAAATTGTTCCAGAAGAGCAAACTCTACCACCTCAAGAACATGTGCTATTAAGACGATCCACTTGAGAAAGGAGAAATACAGTTCCAAATGATTATATTATATTTCTCCAAGAATAAGAGAATGACATCAGTATGGCAGAAAATGATTCTATCAACTTCCATCAAGCCATGAAAAGTTCTTAATCTCAACAATGGATTAATGTCATGAATGAGGAGATAAAGTCTATGAAGGACAATGATGTCTAGAATCTTGTCCCATTGCCTGAAGGTGCGAAACTCATTGGTTGCAAATAGATATTTAAAACCAAGAGGGACTTGAAAGGCGATGTGGAGAGGTAAAAAGCTCGTCTTGTTGCTAAAGGCTTTACATAGAAAGAAGACATCGACTATAAAGAGACTTTCTCTCTGGTTTTATCAAAAGACTCTTTCAGGACAATAATAGCACTTGTGGCACATTTTGACCTTGAGCTACATCAGATGGATGTAAAGACTGCGTTTCTCAATGATGACATTGATAAAATAATTTATATGGTGCAGCCAGAAGATTTTTTATCGGGAGATGCAAAGAAGATGATTTGCAAATTGAAGAAATCCCTCTATGGGCTTAAGCAAGTTTCTCATCAGCGGTATTATAAGTTTCATCAAGTTATCATATCATTCGGTTTTGAGATGAATGTAGCCGATGAATGTGTATACCACAAGTTCAGTGGGAGTAAACATATTTTTCTAGTTTTATATATCGATGACATATTACTTGTCAACAATGATATGAGCTTATTGCATAAAACCAAGAGATTTCTATCAAAGAAATTTGAGATGAAAGATCTTGGGGATGCCTCTTTTGTATTGGGCATACAAATACACCGGGATCGTTCTAGGAGTATACTTAGGTTATCACAAAAAAGCTATATTGAGAATATTCTTAAAAGATTTGGCATGCAAAATTATAAACCAGGTGATACCCCTGTGACTAAGGGAGATAAATTCAGTCTCAATCAATGCCCCAAGAATGACTTTAAGATTAAGGAGGTGCAACAGATTCCTTATGCATCAGCGGTAAGGAGTCTAATGTACACTTAAGTGTGTACGCGTTTGGATATTGTGTACGTGATTGAAATGTTGGGCATATACTTAAGTAATCCTGGAATGGATCACTGGAAAGCAACCAGGCGAGGCTTGAGGTATTTGCAGAGAACAAAGAATACATGCTCACGTCTCAGAGGTCGGACCAATTAGAGATCATTGGGTGTTCTGACTCCGATTTTGCTGGATGCCAAGATAGCATGAAACCTGCTTCATACTATATCTACCTGATTGCTGAAGGAGCTATCTCTTGGAAGAATGCTAAGCAGACACTCATAGCTTTATCCGCCATGGCAGCTGAGTTTGCAGCATGCTATGAGGTGTCTAATCATGAAATATGGTTGTAAAATTTTATCACTTGGCTGCGAATTGTGGATGACATTGAAAGGCCACTTCAATTACTTTGTGATAATAAGTCAGCAGTGTTGTATTCCAACAACAACAGGAGCTTGATGAAGTCGAAACATATAGACATCAAGTTCCTAATTATTAAAGAAAGAATTCGGTGTGGATTTGTGTCTATAGAGCACATTGGGACAAACTCCATGATTACGAATCTGCTGACTAAGGGATTACCACCTAAGGTCTTTCATGAGAGCACTGCTCATATAGCTGTTTTATCTCTTCAGGAATCGTCATTTTAGTGGGAGTTTGTATTTTAGATGCTTTTATTTGTAGACACATTTGTTATGATTTTATGGATATTATATGGTTATTTATTGCAGTATAAAGTATTCAGTTCATATTCACTCTGATTTTTGGTATGGTTTCATCTCACTAAGATTTTAACGTGAACCAGCTAGAAATAGACATGTTAAGATCACACTACATGAAATTTTTATGCTACACATCCATGGTTGATTTGTGTTGTTGGTTGTATTGATATATGTGACCATTGATGGGTCTAGTTGCGACAAATGCAATGAAGATCGCTTTGATCCAATGTTAGCATAACTGATAGAGGAGATTGTTAGGATTGCATTTTGTTTGATAGAAAAATTCATGAGCTCATAAGGTTATATCATAATTCATGTCTATATAGTAACATATATGGCCCAAATGGGAGATTGTTGGTTTTAAATCCAATATATGAGCCAATATATTAAATAGATATATATTATGTGCTATCAATCAAGGTTAGCCCATTAAATCTGATTAGGGTTTGGACTTTTAATGCATAATTAAAGTATGGATCTCCTATGTGTAGAGACCAAAATATAATTATTAATTTCTATGATGGACTAAATTGATAACTATGAATAACTAATAACAGTTATAAATAGGGTTGTGGTTCTCCAAATCTATACGTAGAATCTCTTTCTGATTTCCTATCTTCAGAAGGGTTATGATTTCTCTCAGGAGGATATATACGTAGAAGATTTGGCTCATATATTGGATTTAAAACAAAAGTTTTCTTTTAATCTAACATATTTGTCTTCACTATTGGCGGATATGAACTATAAAATCTTTTTATTGAGTGACTCGTAACCCTATACAAATATAGCAACCACAGTAAATAACATATCCTATCCATATATGATATAGCCTGCAGCTCTATTAAGTTATTATTTCATTACGAGCCTACAATTGCCAATGTAAAAAAGTTTTAGGAGCATAACATCTTGCATTTGAATTCAAGCAAAGCATCTTTGAAATTGAGAACTACAGTGCAATAATAAGCTTCAACAAGGAAGCAACAATTCAACCTTTCCTTTTAATAAACGCTTTTGGCTAAGCTTGTCATGTGATCGCCACAAGTTGTCACCGACCAAACTTCGTCTCGTCACGGACTCAAACAACAACAAAAATCTTTTTTTTTTCTCTTTCAATTATTAGTCTAAATCAAAAATACACTAATCATAATTATTACATTATAGTAAAGGTAATAAAAAGGTTATTGTTAGGAGAAAAGAATACCAACTGTCTTCGTATCTACGGTATTGATCGTCATTTCACGCGCAGTTCGTGACCACCACTATTATTAATCAAAAAGTTTTATTTATGTATTAATTGCATACATTATTGCATTATTATTATGTCGAATAAATTGGAAGAAGAAAAGCACTTCTCTTGTTACTATCATAGAAATGAATGGAATAATAAAGC